GCGCAGGAGCCTGCTTACACATAGGCAAGGAGCTACTTACATACAGGCGAGGAGCTACTTACACACAGGTGAGGAGCTACTTGCACGCAGGCGAGGAGCTACTTACACGCAGGCGAGAAGCTACTTACACACAGGCGAGGAGCTACTTACACACAAGCGAGGAGCTAATTACACGCAGGCGAGGAGCTGCTTACACACAGGCGAGGAGCTACTTACACACAGGCTACTTACACACAGCGAGGGAGCTACTTACACACAGGGAAGGAGCTGCTTACACACAGGCAAGGAGCTACTTACATACAGGCGAGGAGCTACTTACACACAGGTGAGGAGCTACTTACACACAGGCGAGGAGCTACTTACATACAGGCGAGGAGCTACTTACACACAGGCAAGGAGCTACTTACACACAGGCGAGGAGCTACTTACACACAGGCAAGGAGCTACTTACACACAGGCGAGGAGCTACTTACACACAGCAAGGAGCCACACAGAGGAGCTACTTACACACAGGCGAGGAGCTACTTACACACAGGTGAGGAGCTACTTACACACAGGCAAGGAGCTACTTACATACAGGCGAGGAGCTGCTTACACACAGGCGAAGAGCTACTTACACACAGGCGAGGAGCCACTTATACACAGGCGAGGAGCTACTTACACACAGGCGAGGAGCTACTTACACACAGGCAAGGAGCTACTTACACACAGGCGAGGAGCTACTTACACACAGGCGAGGAGCTACTTACACGCAGGCGAGGAGTTACTTACACACAGGCAAGGAGCTACCTACACACAGGCGAGGAGCTTCTTACACGCAGGCGAGGAGCTACTTACACAGGCGAGGAGCTACTTACACACAGGCGAGGAGCTACTTACACACTGGCGAGGAGCTACTTACACACAGGCGAGGAGCTACTTACACACAGGCGAGGAGCTACTTACACACAGGCGTGGAGTTACTTACACACAGGCAAGGAGCTACTTACACACTGGCGAGAAGCTACTTACACACAGGTGAGGAGCTCCTTACACACAGGTGAGGAGCTACTTACACACAGGCGAG